ATATCTTCATTGATTGGACCGGCCCTAGGTAATTCAGAGTTATTTATTCCATTCATCGAGGTCCAGCAGGATTTGAACTCAAGTCTGTTTTTGAACGGCTCATGGATGTACCAACTGAGCTGGGCTTGTTGGTACACTAGCACTTTCCAAATGCGCCTGGCCTCAATCACGGCCAGACCTGCAAGAACCTAAGTTAACCGCAATTACTTCCACAGCGTTGACAAAAAAGTCCTCGTGTGAGTATGCCGTCAACCGCAAAAAAGAGAGGGGTTTTTACCTGAAGTATGACATAGAAGACTCCATCCTTTGTGTTTGAGCTCCTTGCCCTCTCCGTCCAGTCCGAGAGGAAGTCGTCAACAGTGTGAAGTCTGTTCCTTAGGCTTATCCAATCACGCGCTGCTAGTTCCTTTTTTTCAGCACTAAATGTCTTGAAATGTCTCCAAGCCTGCACGAGCAACAAGACAAAAGAAGGATTGTAACTACTGTGGACCTGTTGCAGCTTGGCATTCGACAAAGCCAATGCAATTTTTCAGTGGAAGAGTTCTGGAAGGGTCTGAAAAAGTGGTGGTTATTTTGGGGAAAAAGAGAAACGAAAAGGGAAATTTTTTTATATACCCCCCAAAGGTGAGATATACGCCGAAATGCCCCTGTGGTGGAGAGGATTGCCCTTCTGACAATAGAAACTTCGCAAAATACCCTTTGGTAGGATCCGTCGTCTTTGCAATATACGGTATATACCCTATGGGGTACCAGTCCAGATTGCCAAAATACCCTGGCACGTGCCAAATTTCCAAGGGCCCAAGTCATTTTCTATGCACCCCTACCGAACTATGTCAGCCTTCGATATGCCCCCTAGCTATTGCTCTCTCTCTCTCTCTCTCTCTCTCTCTCTCTCTCTCTCTCTCTCTATTGCTCTCTCTCTCTCTCTCTCCTGTCTCTTATACACATCTAGATGTGTATAAGAGACAGCTCTTCAGGTGTCGTTGTTCCCTGATCCCCGCCCT